CGAAGAAGTTCTCACCATCTTGCATTTTGTTGCATGTTTCAAACTTGTGGGCCTTATTCAACTAAATCCAAAGCATTTCACATTTTTGAAAAAAAAAAGAAAAAGAAAAAAAAAAGAGGTTCTTCCAAGATAAATTCATGAAAAGTCCATCTTTTAGACATCAAAATAATCTAAGCACATGATTTTGGAGCATCACATCATCATTTTCTCCAAGCATCACACCATTCACTTTTTCTTCAAGCTTCATGGCATTTGCTTTCTTTTCAAATGATATTTCTTATGAATGCCAATTTAATGGGTTGCAATAGTGAATCGCCAGCTTCTCTTTTGAAATTTGCTTGGCATACTTAATGAAGGAAAATTCATGCTTTAGGATACAACCACACACACATTATCACTTTAGAGTATATTTATGTTCCTTCATCCTTAATCTATTGTTTGGCATCCATGTTTATTTCTTGTCCTGCATTCCCATAATCTTGTTTGATTCTCTGCCTTCAACAATTGAGATATGGATTCATACATGGTCAAGCGTGATTCTTCATCAGTCAAGACACCATTGAAATATTCATCCATGGAGAAAGCTTTGATCGACAAAGGATTCAGGAGATCTTCAATTGCAAGCATTTTCTCCATCGTTGACAATTGCCAAGTCCAAGGGGCAAGCTTAGAAGGACAAGAACCAAGAGCAACCTCGAAGAGCAGAAGCTCAAACACATCGCACTTTATATGGCTCTAGCGATCAAGGGATTCTCCAAGGAAAGGAATGCAACTACTCATTGAACAATTGTACTTTGAGAGATCTAGGAGTCAAATTTTGCTAGGAACTTGAATGCTACCATGTTGATGTACTTAGTGTGATGTACTAGGCTTTTACTTTGTAATGAATAACCATCTTTGTAATGCATGTTGAACTGCTTGTAAATGTCTTCTCTATAGCCCTTGGAGTCTATGGAAATCTCAAGGCGTTCAAAGATATTTTGCTTTATCCGAGGCTCCTTAAGGATTGGAAATCGACAATGTGTGAATCCATATAGCAATTGTTGAAGCACTAAATCATGCAAAATTATGGGATGACTTCTAACATTAGTCTGACTTTGTTTATTTTTCTTTTACTTTTTGTTTGTAGGTAGGTTTCATAAACTACTTCAAGAAGGAAAAAAAAAAAATCAAGCATGATAGATTCCCTATGTTTTCTCACTCTTTGGAGCAATGCATCATCCATCTAGAAGGCAACCTTCAATATACTCTTATAAGCTCACCAAGATATGATGTTGAAGTGGACTTACACACAAGACATGTGGATCTAGATTCAATGAATGAGGGGGCAAATCTAGGACATGGGGAAATTTGAGTATTATTGCTCTTAAGGATGAACCCCTACTTGACCTGACCATTACTTCTGCCTTGGGGACACTTTGACCAATTGGACAGTCAAGCTTTTCTCTGCTTCATTCATCCATGAGTGGGATGAGTCAGCTTTCTAGTAGCTCAGCTTGTGGCTACATGAAAGGAGGGAATAACAAGCTCTTTTATATTATCTGAAATATTTGCTATCATGCTAATTAGTTTTCCAATCTTTACAATTCAGTCTCACATGTTGCCATATCACCATCCATTAAACTTGATGCAACTCTTCTTGTTAATCATTGTCCAAACCATTATTCACCATTGAGACATCATTTGATGCCATTAATATGCTCAAAAAAAAATCAAAAAAACAAAAAAACACAAAAAAATTTACTTGCATATATATGCTTTCCTCACATGCTGTTGCTTATCCATGTTTCTTTTTGCTTTCAGGCTTTACTAATGATGAATCTGAATACAATGATGCCATTTCAGGATTGGTATATGTTTCAAATGATCCAAATCCATGTCGAGGACGATGATGGTGATCTTGATTCTTCCCACAAACTAATTGATATGTTGCAAAATAGAGGCCAAAGTTGCAGTCAAATGTGATAGACTCATATAGAAGAAAAGAAAAAGATAAAGAGAGAGAGAATAAGGAAATCTTGCTAACTTAAGTTGAATGATTGTCATCATTTTGAGGTCTAAAGTGAAAAGCTCAAGGATCAAAGGCCATCTTTCATGAGCCTAATTTCCAAACACTTTACCCAAAAGAGCCATCCTTTAGTCAACCAAGTTGAGCCTAAAAAAGGAAAGTGAGCCTTTTCTTT